CGTGAGCCACCACTCCCGTCCTGTTTGGTTTTTTTTAATTGTAAAACCTGCCATCACTGGCCATTCTTCATAAGTCTTTTCTTTCCCCCTTAGTTGCTATAGCTTCTTTGTTAGAATGAAGTTACCTGTGACTCCAAATGGGATGGAAGTCAAGATTTGGCACTTAATATTTTGCCCAGTTCTTACTGAAGTTTCACTGAAGCCACGAGAGGCTGTTACTACAGATCAAGGTGTTTCCAAACATTTACATTTGTATACTCAGTTCTTAGAGTGCAGTGCACACATAAAAAGTCTCATAAATGATACATAAGTTCTCCATTTCTACATGAAAGCTTACTGTCCCTTCAGCTATACTCAGGCCTTGAGGCTTAAATAAAATCCTTTCAGATTATTGTTAATGCTGTGCCTGATTCTGCAGCAGCTGTTGCTTTTGAACAATATGATGCTTCTCCTCCCCAAGAGAAGTTGAAAATGCCTCTTTTGCAGCACTTTCAACCTTTGTAGACTCAGGGAGCATATAATAGAGTGAGAAATGAATCCAAGGTTCCTGTTTGGGAATTCAGTGCACAACTTAAAAACTATTGAGTTTAGCCACTTCCTGACATTGACTTTCATAGCAACAGTTTAATTTGGGGAAAATCTGCTACCTCAAATGGCTAAAAGTATTTATGTGGAAAATTTTCCAAATGATTGACTTTACTGTGTTGCTATTTTCTTTCCCCATGAATATGTGAGTATCTGGCTTCCTCCCAGGAGTTTTTCTGCATCACTTCTCTTTAGGCAAAGAAAATTTTCTGTCCAGAGTAGAAGAAAGAAGCACCAAGGGTTTCCCGTTTTTAAGTGAAGGATTATTTGAGTTTAAACCATAGCATCTAAAAATGAAGAATTCGAGTGTGTCTCCTATGTCCTTGAATTTTCCCATGGCAAATCTTTAAGGCAGTCAGAGTGACCTTGATCATCACTTTGGAGCCAATGCAACTGTGATCAGCTCTGTGCAACCTTTCGCTCCACCCTGTCTCCTCCACTGGCATCCGTCTTGCTGCAGGGCTCATCTCCACGCCCTCTCTCACTGTCCTTCCTTCCCCTAATTCTTCAGCCACCCTCACTGACTGCTCTTGCTAAGATCACCAAGGACTCCCTGTTGTTTAATCCAATAATTATTTTGCACTTTAATTGATCTTTCTGTATCTTTTGACATTGTAGATCCCATTTTTCTTAGTTCCTTAGGACCATTTATCCTCCTCATTCCCTAAGTAGTTTCCTCTCCTTCTGTCTCTTTCTTAAATGTTGTTTCCTTGGGAATCAATCCTAGGCCTACTTCTCTTCTTACTCTACACTCTGGTCCTGGACAATGGCATCTGTCCCTGTGGCTTCAATTCCATTCTATTGATAAAGATTCCCCATGTATTTCTCTGGCCCAGATCTTGTGAACACAGGTCTACATCCAAACTGAACCTAATTCCTTCTCTTCCCTGCTTCTGTTTTAAGTTCCCAATCTTAGGGAGGAACACCATTGTTCACTGTCCAAGACAGAAAGAAATCTCAAATTCTTCCTCTCTCTCTTTCTTTTCTCCCATAAAATAAACTAACACTTCCTATTTATTTGTTTCTTCCACATATCCTTAAATTCGTGTCTTTTTCAGCTCTCCTGCCAGTGCCTCTCCTGCTCCCCTAGATCTGGAGGCCATCCATGCCTATGTGGGTTCCCTCTGTGGACTTGGCTCTATGTAGTCCATCCTCCATGTCACAGGAGGGATTTCTCCTGATCGAAAGCCCTCATACTTGCAGAGCTCCCCTCACCCCAATCTGGCTCTTCTTGCCTCTCTAGCCTCAGTTCTGGGCACTCCCTACCTTGCATTGTTCATTTTTTGCTTATACTGAATGTCTTTCAGTTCTTCAAACATATTGTGCTCTCTTATCTCTTGCCCCTCATATGCTATTTTGTCTGGAATATTCTTTCTGGTCTCTTCCCTTCTGGTGAATTCCTGCTCCTTTTTCAGATCTTAAATTCAGAGCACTTCCTTTCAGGTACTCCCCCAAAAGCCCCAAGTCTGGCAAAGGTACCTCTTCTATGGCCTCTGCCCCAATGTGCCATCAGAGCACAAGCCACCCTGTACCACAATTGCCTGGGTCTTTGTATCCCCATTAGACTGTCAGTTCTGCAAGGACAGGAGCATGTCTCCCGTGTTGACACTGCACTGCCAGTGCCTAGCACGGTGCTTGATGGTTGGCAGGTACTCAATAAATATCTGTTAAGTGAACAAATCAGCCTCAAAGTAAATGATGAGTCAGCCCTCTTCACCACACAGGTGCAAATGCCTTACTCTCATTTGCAATTTCTTCCTCACTAGTCAAGCTCCCCTGACTGTAACAACTATTACTTTTCCACAAAGTAGACAAAAACTTTGTTGCAGACGAAGCAACCTGTATATCCCAAAGGAAGGGAAACTTTCCAAAGGTTCTGAGAATTAGCATATGGTAATTGTCAAATCCCAAGGTATCTTTTAATTGAACCTTCGCAGTAGTTCATTTAGCTTGTACTCAGTGCTTAAATTGAGTAGAACCTCATTAGGGAGGTTGTGTCATGACTTAGTGAAAGTGGAGAGAATGAGAAATATAGCTTTCCATGACATGAAGGCATGAGAGAAAGAGAGCATTCTGGTCTGTGGGCTCTTTAATCATGAGTATTGACAGCACTGACTCCTGATTTCGGGGAGAACACCCATGGCCATCAAAGGAGTTTAGGATTTTCCTTCTAAATCCCATTCTAGGTTTTGTAGCCCACAAGGATCTATAGCATACTTCCCTCCTTTTGAAACTTCCCTTTACAAATCAACAAAAGGGTGCAAGGCAAGAACTGTAGTCAGGGCCTAAAACTCTGCAAAGGCACAGTCCTAGCTAAAAATAATGATGATCAGCCACCGTCCCCCCTGTTTGCTGCTCTATAACTGCTGCTTTAGGGTCACATAGCTGGTGGTCATAAAGATGCTTAACTTTCTCCATAGATAACATCACCTTTTCCAAACCTAAAGGTAGTTTCTGAGATACCTTCCAGGACCTGCATTCCAGTGGATTGGCTAACCCACCCAGACCAGCGGCCCATCCCATGAAACTGACTCAACTGGAATTGTGACCCTTAACCCAGGAACTGACTCAACACAAGAAAATGATTTCTACACCCCTATAATTTTGCCCCAACTTAACTAATTAGCAAACCCAACTATATAATCCTTTGCCTGCCAAACTGTCTTTAAACACCCTATCTCCCAAATTCTCTGGGAGGTGGATTTGAGAAATTCCTCCCATTTCCCCACTTAGCGCTCTGCGGAATTAAATCTTTCCTCTATTGCAACCCTGACTGTCTCAGTGTATTGGCTGTTCTCTGTGCAGTGGGCAATGCAACATGGTTGGGCAGCAACACTTTCCTCTCTCTGTGCTTTTCCTTTAAGGCCATCCTGATGAGCAACCTCTTAATTAGAGTAGTCCTCCCTAGGACCATATCTTCCTATAGAAACCCCATGACTGCCAGGCTCAGCCAACCCTGTACTTGCTCTTTCTGCCTGGAAGACCAACCTCCACCTCTGCTCTCATCCCTCCTTGCTCACCAAAAACTAATCCCTGAGAGCCAGCTCATAAAGCTCTTGCTGAGTTTTACCCCTCTCTCTCACAACCCAGCAAGTGGTCATCTCCCCTTTCTCAAGATACTCAGTGGACCTTATTTGTGTCCCTCTTAAGGCACCTTAAGATGCCTTTTCTAGTTCCTAGGTATGCCTTGTATCTCTGTGTTAACCTATAAACTTGAGGGCAGAGCCTTTTGCTCAGTGTGCCCACACTCTCTCGCACGGGATCTGGCACACAGTAGGTATTCAGATGTCAGCGAGGTAGGTGGAGAGATTCAGGGAAGAAGAGAGAGTGAGCACAGGGTTAATTGCATGGGGTGGGGGGTTGGGAGGGGAATGGGCATGCGTTCTGAGGCCAGTTGTCCTGGGTTTGAATTCTAGCTCTGCCACTTATTGGGCGTGAGACTTTGAACAAATTATTAATACATCACATGTCTGTGCCTTTATTTCTTTATCTATAAAATGGAATAAAAATGTTACCCCAACATGTGACTATTGTGAAGTCTAAATGAGCTATAATATATAAAGCACTTAGCTCAAGACCTGATACATAGTGAATACTCAGTAAATGTCAAAATGTAGAATATAAAGGGTCTAGTCAAGGTACCTGCATGGAATATGCAGGTGTGCCCACTAAGGGCAAATGGCATTTGTGGCTGATGTCATGAAGAAAGTTAAATCTAAACCATCAATGGTGGCAGATGGAGGCAATGAGCTCACACTCCCCTGAGAACCCAGGTGCCTTCCCTTCTGAAAACACGAATTCCATCTCTATAACTCAATAGAAGAATAGCTTGGGCAGGAAGATGGAAAGGGAGGCTGCCCAAAAAAGGGCAGCAGAGGAGAGCTAAATGAGCTTGGTATTTAACTGTGCCCTGTTTTAATATCTGATGATTTTAAGGGGGATGGAAATAAATGCTAAGGGAAAGTCATGTTTTTGCTGCCATCTACAGATGTCAAAGTGCAACTTTTAGTTTCTTAACACACACACACACACACACTCAGAAAGTGACAATATAAGTGACTATATCTAAAGTTTAGTTTAAGTTCTAGCAGGTGGAGCAATTTAAGATTAGCTGCAGGTGTGGCAGCCAACAGACACTTTGAGAGTCAATAAAGTGATTTCAATGAGGAATGAGATGAACTGAATTTTACCCCCACGCTTCCCTGCATTTCTTTGGTTGCTATTAGAATTACTGTGAGTTGCATTTTATACAGTGTCTTTTATTGTTTGGATATGAGAAATCAACCAAAAGTAAGTAAAAACAAATGTGATAGTGACGTCACCTCTGAGGTGCTCCCTGCTCCTACAGTGTCATCCATATCGTCAACAAGGTTATCACGATGCTTTTCCAACTTCCCTGTGTGTTTTTGTTAAAGGGTTAAATATAGACAAGAATTACTGGAAAAGCGCTTGATGGAGAAAAAAGAAGCGGCCCTTCAAGAAGAGCATGAAGATGGAGAGAGAGTGAGGCGGCTGGAAGCCCTTAGGAAACAGGTGTTTTTAATTTGGAAATTTTCATGGGTGGTTTTTTAAAAAAAAGTTTCTAAGTGCTCTTAATAACATTGTTTCTGGGGCTTAGTTCATGACATCTGCTATGTAAAATGTAACTTTTCCAAATTGGGACACTGATGTTCGGTCCTGGGAGCAATTAGATTATATTGAACCATTTCCAGTTTCTCAGTATGTTAAAAGAACTTTATCAGCACCTTTTAAAAAGCTCTCCCAAGACTTAACTGCATCCATATCACCTCCAGTTTATCAGCTGAATGGTATCCAGTTACAACAATGAAACTCTGCATCTAGTCAAAGGATTTTACTGTCCTCAAAAATCCTGGTAGAGCTCAAGCAAGATAATTCTCTTTGGAGTAGGAACCTATGTTTGGAAATATTCCACAGTCAACAAATATGTTCAAAACTACTTTTTTAAAAATACTCTTTTTATGGGGAAATAAAAGCTTCCCATTGCCTTGTCCAGTAAAAGTGGGCAAAAGTAGATGAAAACAGACAGTAGATGGCAACGGCAGGAATTTAAGAACTTGGAAAGTGTGATGAAATAATTATACTAGGTAATTAATTGTTCAGAGTTTTGAACTCGATGGGATTGGTTCAGCTCACAAGCTCTGAAATCTTCATTGACGTCATGTTCCAGCTAATAGGAAACAACTGTCTAGCTTCCCTCCTGTGTCAATGAGAGTCATGGATAAGAACTTGGTCTCCAGTGTCCTTCAAACCTGCTACTACCCAATCTGTACTCACTGACATTGGAAACGTAGCTCATTTACTTGACCTCTTTAACCTTTATTTCCTTGTCTGAAAAATGGGGATAACAACAATGATACCTGCTTATAGGTGTGTAGTAACATGAGTTCAAACTTACTGAGTATTTACTAAGTGTACAGCCCTCTTCTAATTGCTCTTAGGTATTACTTTGTTTAATCTCTACAACAACTCCATGATGTAGGTATTATTAACATCCCCATTTTATAGAGGAGGAAACAGAGGAGGCACAAAGGTGGTTTTCCCCAAAATGACAGAGCTAGTAAATGTCATACTGATTCAAAACAAGGAAGTCCAGTTTAAATGAGATGGTATAGAAGCAGTGTAAGTGCATAAAACTATTCTGTCATCATCATCTTTGATAAAATACAATACACAGATAAATTTAAAGCATAGGAATGTAAGTCCTGGTTATCCTACAAAATTTAACTTATTTCTAGAGCCTACAAAATTTCAATTATTCAACTATTAGCAAATAATTATATACCATGGCCTTCTGGGGATAAGACTTGCCACTATTACTAAACACATTCTTGTTCAAAATATACCTTTGATAGCTACACTCTATATAATTAGAATTCCTTCCACTTGTGAATGCTTTGGAAGAGGAAATAACTGGACTCTTTATCTGTAATCAGTGTTCAGAACTATAGTATAAGATACTTTATACTTTAGCTAGGAAACCTATCATAATTAAAGTATGTTCAACCCTCAGTTATTTCATTACAGTTTCTAAATGGCATTAAAAATGCCATTTTCTTCCTGCTAATTCTTGACTTTGGAAATTAACAGGCAGGTGTTACTAATGGTGCATATCATTTACAAAATTGGTGCCTTCTTTTCATTAAGATGCAGGTTTGAATTATCATAAAGGACAAGGGCATTTGGGTTAAAGTGACTGCAGTTTTTCAATAAAAGGGGGAACAGTTTATAGGGGGGAATAGTTTATAGTAGTCCTTAGGAATCTAGTTGCCTGGTGCAATGGAAATTCGCCCATCCTGCCTGATAATGCCAACATGCTCAACTTTACCCATGAATGCTGTTGTCAACCCAAGGAAATGACTGAGGCAAAAATTTCAGTCAATAGAGATTTATTAACCCAACATTTTGAGGATACATCTAGGAAAAACACCAACCACAGACAAACTGTGGCTATTTTTCTGAAGGGGAAGTTGGAACCTTTAGCATTTTAAAGGCATACAGAGAGAAGGAAAAAAGGTTGGAGGGGGGTAGCTGATGAGGCAAAGTGATTATATTCTGGTGAGGCCCAAGAAATCTGCATTTTACTTAAAATAAGGGAGTGAAGGAAGCATCAGTTATGTATATGTCCCTGGGTAAATGGAAGACTATCTGATTCTGTCTTGTTTCCAGTTCCCTTACATGTTAGATAAACTTGTAATTCATTATCACTGGGGAATCAGATAGGCTTTGGTTTTGGGTGCTAGACATAGGTACGATTTGCATGTCCTTGCTTACTGGAGGTTAGCAAGGAATTTCCTTAATGCATGATCTGTGGAGCCAGTTCTTCACAGGTGTTCCAGGCTTTTACTTTCTGTTTTGCAAAGGAGTCCAGGGGTAGCCCTGAGACTTTGATTTCCTTTGTACACTGTACTCTAGATTCAGCTCAATCAGAGTAAACTTTCTGGAAAACTTCATGGGATTGCTACCATAACCAAAAATTGTCAGTGGTTAAAAAATGATTTTTAAAAAAAATTTGGTGACTTTCAAGGTGGTTCAATACGTAGGTTTTCAATTATAGTATTTTCTATGACTTCATATCAGAAAGATAAATTATTATTTGAAATTAATCGAAATTATAAGTATTCAATAATCAGCAAATCATTACATACCATGGCCTTTTAACATTTTGTTTTATATTTCTTTTATTTTGTTTGGCTCCTTTGTGGATCTCTAGGCCTGGCCTGGTTTTAATATTCTTCCTGCCCTTTCCTCTTAGGTTTTATCTTTAATGGGCATTAGAGACCAATAGTGTTGTCTAGAAGTATTTAGCTTGTACCTGTCCCAGTAGCCATGCCTTGTCTTCTTTCAGGTGGCTGTTGTCGCTCAATTTGATCCTGTTAGAATGATGTCAGACACAATGGCATCGAAAGCCAGAATGGGCATTGAAATTGAAGAAGAATTTATTCTTCAAAAGCCACTCTTCACATTGAATACATACAATGAACAGCAGGTAATTAAGGGAATTAGCATGATTGATGCAAAAGCCATGATGAGGATAATAAGAACTATAGAAATGTGTGTTGGGTTATAAACTCTTTTTAATATTTATATTTGAATATCACCCATTTTATCATAATTTTTACTTCTAAATGATAGTACATAATTACTAGATAGTTCTTAATATTATGAAATAGTTAATAGGTGACAATGTAATGAGTTTGCCTGAAAATGCTATGCATCTGTCATTGAAAATTATTTTTGGATTTAAAAATAGCTTTATAAAGTTTTATTTGAAACTTTTGTGTTAATATTGTGTTTTGTTGTTTAAATATTTCTCTGTTACATTAAGAATTTAAATTCATAATATAAATCTTATTAAACGACTGACAATACTGATAAGACAAAGCAGAAGAAAATGTTCAGAAATTAAAATGAACAGAAGATAATACATCAGAGCTAATGGTAAAATAAAATATTATCTGTGGAGAAGTGTTACGGGATCATTTAACCATTTGTAGGAACTTTTAGGGTTTGTTTCAGTCTGTGCCTATAACTGAGAAGGGATTTTAAAAAGATGTTTTTAGACAGACAGATTGAAGGACTGAAGGGTGGGAGGACAAAGGAATGAGTGGATATCAGTCACTGAAATTTAGAGAAAAAGTAGTTGTTAATTTTACAAATCTAAGGAGAGAAGCTAAATACTTATTTATTTATTTATTTATTTGAGACAGAGTCTCACTTTGTTGCCCAGGCTAGAGTGAGTGCCGTGGCATCAGCCTAGCTCACAGCAACCTCAGACTCTTGGGCTCAAGCAATCCTCCTGCCTCAGCCTCCCAAGTGGCTGGGACTACAGGCATGTGCCACCATGCCCGGCTATATATATATATATATATATATATATATATATATATGTATATTTGGCAGTGGATATACATATATATGTGTGTATATATATGTATATTTGGCAGTGTATACATATATATACATATATATATATTAGTTGGCCAATTAATTTCTTTCTATTTATAGTAGAGACGGGGGTCTCACTCTTGCTCAGGCTGGTTTCGAACTCCTGACCTTGAGCAATCTGCCCGCCTCGGCCTCCCAGAGTGCTAGGATTACAGGCGTGAGCCACCGCACCTGGCCTTTAATTATTTAAATATCCAGAAATTTCATCCATTCATCCACTGCCAAATAAATCCATTGTGCCTCTGCTCTATGTTGCATCCTTTGCCAGGGAATATAAAGGTGAATAATTCATTCATTTATTCATTGACCAAATATTTATGGAACATATGCTGTATTCTGGCTCTCTGCAAGGTACCTGGGCTACATCTGAACAAGATAGCCTGACCCCATCTGGAGGAAGTGAGCAGAGGAGCCTGACTGGGAAAGTAGCATGCACAGAAATAATGCCACTATGATGAGATCAACTCCAGTAGGAAAGTCTAAGGGCTGCCCCCAGCAAGTGGAAGACAATGAATGGCTAACCTTAATTGGGGAGGTCAGAAAAAGTGTCAGACAACAAACTTCTGAGCCCTATCTCAGTCAAGGATTTTTGGTAGTAGTAACAACATGTATTCCAGATGATTTATGATAATAACAGAAAGTGAGTTGGGGATGTGCATAGGGTGAGGTATTAATTATAAGGATGCAGGTGTATCTCCAGATACCAGCTGCCAAAGTGAGGAGGGAAGCTGGGGCTTGACACGTTTGAAATCAGGAGCTGGAAAGGTCTTGGGTAGCTGGGCAAAGGAATTAAGGGTTCCACCAAGCAGAAGAGGTTAGGACAAGTCCCTTCCTGGTATGTCTTCAGTGTAAGGTATATAGGTATATGACGAGTGGAATATGACAGGTTCTGGGAGATGTGACTGGAAACATAGGTTAGAGTCAGACTGCAGGAGGCATAGTGGGTCTTACTACTAACGCCTTCATCCTGTAAGCAGACACCAGACTTTGAAACAGGTAAGTTACATACAGTTATGCCCTGCATCAATGATGTTTTGGTCAACAGCAGACTACGTCACATATACAATGGTGGCCCCACAAGATTATAATGGAGCTGAAAAATTCCTATCATCTAGTGACGTTGTACCCTCCCAGTGCAAAGCATTCCCTTTTCTATATTTAGATACACAAATACTTACAATTATGTTACAATTGCCTCAGGTATTCAGTACAGGAATATGTTGTACAGGCCTGTAACCTAGAAACTATAGGCTATGCCACATAGCCTAGTTGTGTAGCTATACCATTTAGATTTGGGTAGGTACACGCTATGATGTTCACATAATGGTGAAAATCACCTAACAGTGCATTTCTCAGAATGTATCCCCATCATTAAGTGGCATATAACTATAATCAGATTTATGTTTTAGCCTTGTGTCCTGAATGGAAAATTGGTGAGGGTGAGCGTGGGTTGAGTGAGGTCCTTTTAAGATGGCAGAGCCCTCGTAGAAGTGGTTTGGGGGAGGCCACAGATGGCTCTGGCTGAGAGGGAGAGGCAACAAAGAAAGTGAGGATGATTCCAAGCTACATAGCAAGTTTCATTGTGAAGAGCCTATATTTTGGATTCAAATCCACATCCACTATTTATTGGCTGGGTACACTTGTGAAAGCTATTAAAATCTTTATGTCTTGTTTTCTTCATCTGTAAAATAATTATTTGCAAGGTCCTTGTGAGGATTAGAGATAATAAATGTCAACTACCTAGAATATCACCTGGTACCGAGTAGTAAATTATAATCATTTGGTGGTGTTGCCGTTTACACATTAACTGCCATGTGAGTTGTATTTAACTCACGCTAGTTTTGAGCCTGGGGCTCATGAAGCAAAACCTGGGCAGAACCCTGCAGTTGGTTCATGAAAATCTTATTTGTTGATGTTCTCATTGTTACAATTATTATTGACAATTTAATTCTAAAAATGTGGATTAAATGAATAGAAGTCAATAACAAATTTTTCATTAAATTAGAAAGGATTGTTTTGTTTTTGAAGTTTTTATTCTGTTTTCGTAATAAAACACTGTGGCCCCAAGGAAATTTTTTTTTTCCTAATGCCGCAGTCAGTGTGTTAACAATATAAGAATACGGTAGGAAAAACAGACTTGAGGGGAGAGAGAACTTGTTTTACTCATGTCACGTTTAGGGTAAACATGTCTAGTACACATTTGCAAGAAACTGTTTGGCTGTATCTAGGGAGGGGAACTGAGAAGATGGATGTCTCCATTTCACTTGCTACCTATCCAAAAACAGAATCATGAAAAAATGTTAAACCTTACAACCCTGGAGCAAGGAGAGGGGTCAATTCCTGGAAATGACTTAGGAGTCAATAGTGCACAGGTTGAACATTAATCCTGGGGAATGAGCAAGAGTGACCAGGGAGAATACATTGGGGCAAAAGAGAAGAAAGGCTTAAATTCGTTGCTTCTCAGACACAAATCTCTGTATTATTCTTGACTTCATACTCATCATTTCCCCTAGGCCCGTATCTGATCAGCTGTCAAGCTCTATTGATTCTTCCTTTAATAATGTTTCTGACAGTTACCTCTTCCTTGTTACCAAGCAAGTTCAGGCATTTATTACTTCATGTCTAGACAATCGTAGTAAACTCCTAACTACTCCCCTTGCCTCCATCTCTTCTTTCCCTGCTGCTTTAATTTATTCTGAACTTATAATCTGGTCCATTTTCCTATGCAACTACAATGATTATATCACTTCCATGCTAAAAACAGAAGCACAACCCCAGTAGCTCCTTAGACTCCTTGGCATGGCCTTGTAAGCCTTTTAAATTCAGGTCCCAATCTGAGAAGTGTGCTTTTCCTGTGTTCCTCAATGGTACCCAGTGCTCCTCCAAGACTACCCTTATCCCCAATTGACCTATTTCACCTCTAGTTTGTATATGCCTTCCTTTCTCATTAGAGCTCCCTTTGCTAGAGTAAGTTGGACTTTAGGGTTAGTTCAATTGCTTCTCCTTACCTGAGAAGACCATCCTTATTCCACCAGCACCAGGATATGTACCTCCATGTTTTACTATTCTTAGGCCATCTGACACTTGTTGCCATGAACTGTAGTTACCTGGTACATTCTTATTACCCCTATTCATTTAAGAACTCTTTGAAGGAGGAACTGCTTTCTCTAGCTTATTATCACATCCTCTAGGGGGACTTCAAGTCCATGTAAAATGCCTCATTAGGTAAAATCCATGTGTGGCTACCTTCTTATCATTGCAAATAGTGTCTGTTGACATTTAATATTCTTAGAAGGAGGGGAAGATGAATAAGATCCTATCAGCTATAAATTAAACCAGAAATTGAACTACTCACATGTCTACTCCCATTTAGAATCAGATTGATGGGGGCATTTTCTGGTTATATTTGAAATAGAAATCCAGCCTTGGATGAAAGGTTGTATTGATTTTGTTTTTTTGAGTAGTGGCCATGTGTTTAAACTTAATTTACATATTTCCAAATGATGAAGAAATTAGATATCTGTTTAAAGACAGATGTAAAAGGTTGTGGCTTAGATTTATTTTAATCAATGATTGTCTGGATTTTATAATTCAAGCCAGCAATAAATAATGAATCAATTATATTATAGTACAGAAAATAAGCTTCTTTTACCTTATCTTTTAATAATATGTTTTAATGTATTCTATTTCAACTAACCCAGTATACAGTATTCTATACATCCATGTTGGAAACCACTGACATACTAGAAAGGAATAAAGTCAAAAAAGTTTGGGTGGGCCGAGCGCAGTGGCTCACGCCTGTAACCCTAGCACTCTGGGAGGCCGAGGCGGGCAGATTGCTCGAAGTCAGGAGTTCGAAAACAGCCTGAACAAGAGTGAGACCCCGTCTCTACTAAAAATAGAAAGAAATTAATTGGCCAACTAATATATATAGAAAAAATAGCCAGGCATGGTGGCCCATGCCTGTAGTCCCAGCTACTCGGGAGGCTGAGGCAGCAGGATTGCTTGAACCCAGGAGTTTGAGGTTGCTGTGAGCTAGGCTGAGGCCACAGCACTCGCTCTAGTCTGGGCAACAAAGTGAGACTCTGTCTCAAAAAAAAAAAAGAAAAGAAAAAAAGTTTGAGTGGCTAGGTGCAGTGGCTCATGCCTATAATCATAGCACTTTGGAAGTCCAAGGTGGATCACTTGAGCCCAGGAGTTCAAGACCAGGCTGAGCAACATAGCAAGACCCTGTCTCTACAAAAAGTAGAAAAATTAGCTGGGTATGGTGGTGGGCACCTATACTACGGTAACTAGGGAGTCAAGGCAGGAGGATGGCTTGAGCCCAGGAGTTTCAGGTTGCAGTGAGCTGTGATGATGCTCCTGCACTCTAGCCTGGGCAACAGACCAAGACTCTGTCTCAAAAATAAAAAATAAATAAATAAAAAATAGAAAATATAAAGATTTGGGCATTTGTGGTAAAAGGAACCAAATATAGTCAATGTACTCACAAAGTTTATTATCATCTATTCAGCAAAAACAAATTATGCAACTTGGGAAAATGTGAAACTGAATGTTAAAATTTACTTTAATTCAAGGAGTTACTGTTTATTTAAATTGTATTTTACTTCTACAGATAATTTCTGACCCCAGAATTCGCTTTGAGTTAGCGCTTCGAAAAGCTGGACTTCATAAAACATTTTATGCCAGAGAGATGTTACCAAAAATCAGTCCTCAAAAACTTCCAAGAAAGGACATGGAATCTTCTGTATTTAAAATGTAGAGCTCATCCTCAAAATTTGTAAACCAATTTTTTTCTTTGAAAACATTTATATGGATAAAAATTACTACTTTTGAAAATTTTTTTAAGTATCAGACATAGAAATTGTAGCATCTATTAAAACAACTTTGCCTTTCTTTTATGATTCTTAGAATTTTATGCACTATTTCCTGTATCTTTGTTATATATAATAATACCAAACTCTCCATGATTACACAATTTCATGTTATATCATACAAAAACCATCACTTAGTAAACTACATGTTGAAGGTCATGTTATCCCATGAAAATAGCTCAAAATAACCATTTATGAGAATTATAAATAATGTAGCTACTACCTGCTAATGTTCATTTCTGTTTGTTATTTCAGAATTTGACTTTTTAATTATGGAAGCTTCATTATCATTAATACTTCTATTATTTCTTGATTATTATAAGAGGATACTCAACCTTCCTTTAAATTTAGAAACCAATTTGGTAGACCATGTTTACTGCAAACCAATCATCCAAACAATTTCATTTTGCAAATTAGCCCTTAAGAATAAATTAGAAATTAGAAATAGCATTTCAAGCAGGGGAATGTCTGTTTTGGTTTGAAAAAAATGTATTTGTGTGATTGTTTAGAAGGAATATTTAAAAATTTATAATATTTGGAATGCTGTCAAAAGTTCCAAATTATCTATTAAATATTTATATGATTTTATAGAAAAGAAGCATTTCAAATAAAACTCAAATATAAATTTTTGACTATGTCTAAAAAGCGGTTATTCAATAAGAATAGCAAGTCAGTGTTGTTAAAAGTTGCCATTGTTACTGTTAAGAAAACCACCTCCCTTTTTATCTCTATTGCCACTCCCTGCCATTTCCAAGGGGTTATAGTGTCCACACAGTTACTGGAATAACAAAAAAGACAAAGACCAGTTTGACCGGTGGCATCTTTGGCTCATGATGATCCCCAGTGTCATGGGAATAAGTAATACAGGAAGCAAAGCCCATCAAAGTCAACCTTTGCAAAGATTCAATGGACAGAACCTAAATTCCAAAATTCATTCTAATACTCTCCCAGCTGCATCACCATAACATCTCATAAAAAGAGGGAAAGGAATTTTTAATAAGAGTCAGAGAGTAGTGAGTACTGGTGTTTATGCTGAGGGTGTCTCCCTGGATCACACGTTCCTTTCTGGGCCCTCAGCTTGCTTGATGTGAAGCCTCAGACCATAGACCCATGGAAGTCATGTCAGAGCACATCCTCTTGACACAGCAAGATGTTGGTACTGCTCAGAGTCCATGGGTCCTTCCCAACATCAACACCCATACCAAGGTCCAGGGGATCATGCTCCAATTCTAACTGAATATCATATCTTTTACACTTTTCCAATAAAACCTAGTAGTTGGTTATAGCACAGCAGTAGGTAGTGCCACCATTTCAAGAATAATAGAGCTGATACGTTGTGGCTTTGGTGAAAATCATTAGTTGAGATTTGGGCAGCAGCCTAGCTGTTGGTTACTCCCAGACTCAGACCATATTCATTTTCTCTTTTTAAAAAAATAGTATTCATAAGAGTTACCATTCATTGAACATAAACTGTGTGGTTAGCGCCATATATGTGATTTACATATGTCTTATTTTACCATCAAAACAACTTTTTGAGACTATCATCCCCATTTTGCAGATAAGAAAATAGTTTCAGAAAGGTAAAATAATATGCTCTAGATCAGTTGTTTTCAAACTTGAGTTATTAAATTAATTTAGTAAGTTCTGAACAGCATTTTTCAAATGAAACAAAATAGAATAAAGAAATCTGGACCAGCCTGGCCAACACAGCAAGACCCCATCTCTACAAAAAATAAGAAAAATTAGCCAGAGGTGGTGGCACACACAACCTATAGTCCTAGCTACTTGGGAGGCTGAGCCAAGAGGATTGATTGCTTCAGCCCAGGAGTTTGGGCTACAGTAAGCTATGATTGTGCCCCTGTGGTCTAGCCTGGGCAACAGAGCATGATTCTGTCTCTTAAAAAAAAAAAATCTGAAATCTAAGTGACTAAAAAAATATGAAAATATGGAAATACCAATTAAAGCCCCCAACAAAATCTCAACACATACCCATCAGATTGGCAACAATATCAAGAAATATAACAATATCAGGTAGTGATGATATAGACCAATGGGAAGCATGTACTGGTGATGGGTGTGTAAGTTGGAAAAGTTTGGACTTATCTGGTGAGGCTTAAAGCCCTCTTACCCTTTGATCCTACTATTCTATTGCTGGATGGATATATGCTCTTGAGAAGCTCCTGCGTGTGTGTATGACGGGACATAAGCTGGGAGTCCCAAATGAAAACAAGCCAGATGTTCATCAACAGTAAACAAATATAAACACTATGGTATATTCATATATGAACTTGCATACAACAATAAAAATGAATAAAATATCATCACAGGCATAATCTCCAGTGAAAGGAGCCAGATGCAAAAGTGTACATACTGTGTTGTATTTCATTTATCTAAAGTATAAAAGCAGGCCAAACTGATCTGTATTATTTAGGGATACATGCAAAAGTGGCAAAATAATAGAGAAAAATAAGAAAATAATTAAAAGTAAAATTGAGGTAATGACTACCTTTAGGAGATAAGGAGGCAGACAGGGCTGGGGGCTTCCAAGTTACTGTAAATATTAATATTTTACCATTTAACTGGGGTAGTAATTATATTAATATGTTTCTAATTATTGTTAGAAGTTGTACATAAGTGTTTTATATACTGTTATATGCCAATGCTATAAATTCCCAGTAAAATGAAGAAAAAATCATTAAGAAAGCTAATTATGAGAAGCATAATTTTTTAGTATATAAGTGTATCAGAAGCCATCTTTTTAGCCAGTTTCTAATTTAATATCCTCAATTTACATGAATTTCTGAGATAAGAAGGCTAGTTCCTGCTCAGGAGTCATATTTACCCTGACATGGGATAGAATTCCTTTATTTTTCTCCTTGCTAACCTTGTGCTCTGCTTCATAAGGCCATGACTCTCATCAGTCTAGTTTGCCTAGTGGGCTTGAAAAAGAAAGAAAAGAGTATATACCTAATACGAGTAAGCAAGCACTGGGCCATGAAATTTGATTTCAATTATCCATGTGTGTGTATAGTGGGTCATAAGAAAAGTATTATTTCTTAGTGGGTAATGGTCCAGAAAAAGATTGAAAACCACTACCCTCCATCCCATGGTTAATAAATGGGATATCCTGATTGAGCTCCACATCTTTGATGATGATGGGCTTGTCTCAAACCGAAAGGAAAGAAGGTAATCCATCTGGTGGAAATCCCCTACCTCCCCACCACCAAATCTGCAAATACACCCAAGTCTGCATTTAGCTTTTGCTTCTTCTGGCAGAGAGAGCAGCTCTCCCTCTATCAGAGACCAGTGTTTCCGTGTATGTTTTGGGTTTCATTCTATCTCAACTCTACAAGAATTTCTGGTTTGTTTTTTTTTTTGTCACTTCCCTATATCTTAAAGCTGTCCCTCAGCATACAAATATGCTGGAATATATTCCATTTTAAAAAGAAATCTCCCTTAACCCCATATTGTCCTCTAGCTACCAGGCTATTCCTAGGCTCCTCTTGTCAAACAAACTTCGTTAAAGAATTGCCTGTAGATATTAGATGTCTCTTCTAATCTTCCAGTTACTGTCACTCATTCTGATTGAGCTTTGTCCTCACCCTCACTGACACTGCTCTCAGCAAGGTCACCAAAGGACTGCTTATTGGCAAACCTGATGACCATTTCTCTGTCTTCATCTTACTGACTTCATGGCAGCATTTGATTCAGTTGACAACTACCCCATCTTAGAGAATGTTCTGCTCTTGGCTTCTATGACACCAGCTTTATCTCTTGCTTCTTTGGTTGCACATTGATCTCCTTTGCTGACTCCTCCACCTCTATCCATCTTTAGATATTGGAGTGCTCCAGGATTGGACCATTTAGCTCTATCTTTTTTATTGTTGAATCACCCAAGAGAATATCCTTAAATGCTATGCTTTCGTTTTAGCTATTAAGTTATGTTCTTTATCTTTTAATCTATCAGCTTCCCTCTCCATCCACTTTCCTTCCTCAATTTATTTTTTGAGGAAACAAATACATTTACATGCAGAATTTCCTATGTTGGATTTTGCTCACTTTTTCCTCTCAGTGTAATTTAATATGTTCCGCTGTCCTCTGTTCTTTGTGTTTGCTGTAGTTGATCAGAGGCTTTATTGGATATAAGATTCAGGATTGTTTGTTTGTTATTCCCAAGACAACTTCATTGTGGTGGTGTGTTCTCCAGTCAGGAAACATACACTGTTGGGTTGAGCCTCTTTTTGAAATTTTTGCTGACACTAATGCTCAGAGCCTAGATCCATTACTTAATTATGGATTACAAGATAGAGATCATCTAATTCTCTTTTTTTTATTTCAAAGTATTACAGGGTACAAATAATTTTGGTTACATGAATCACTTTTATAATGCTTGAGTCACGGTTAGAAGAGTTCCCATCACCCAGATATTGTTCGCTGTACCTGTTAGGTAGGTTTTTGCCTGTCCCCTCTTCTTCGCTCTCCCTGGTTGATTTCCACTGAGTTGTACTTTCCTCTATGCATGTGTATGCTCATCAGTTAGTTCTGGTTTAGCAGTGAGTACATGTGGTGTTTGTTTTTCCATTCTTTAGATTCTTCCCTTTGGATGATGGTCTTCAGTTCCATCCAAATTGCTGCAAAAGGCATTAATTCATCCTTTTCATGGCTGAATAGTACTCCATGGTATACATATACCACCTTTTGTTCATCCACTCATGCATTAATGGGCACTTGGGTTGATTCCACATCATTATAATTGTGAATTGTACTGAAATAAACATTCGAGTGCAGGTGTCTTTTTGATAAAATGACTCCTTTTTCTTTGGGTAAATAGTCAGTAGTGGGATTGCTGGATTGAAGGGTAGGTTTACTTTTAGTTCTTTGAGGAATCTCCATACTGTTTTCCATAGAGGTTGTACTAATTTACAGTGCTACGAACAGTGGACAAGCATTCATTTCTCTCTGCATCCATATCAGCGTCTGCTGTTTTTGGACTTTTTAATAAAAGCCATTCTGACAGGGGTA